AACCTGCCGTATAAAATCACCAGCGAAGAGATGTACGATATTTTCGGGAAGTTTGGTGCAGTTCGACAGATTCGAGTGTAAGTTTTGTTTGGTGTTTTCGTAGGCTGCGAAATGATGAGCTTAATAGACATATCGTTAAAAAAAAACTTAATTGCCTCGTGAACAGTTTGTGTTTGTGATCGTTGTTTTCTTCTTCTTCAGCTCTGAGTTCTTTTTATGATTAGTTCGAGTCGATGTGTGACACTGAAAGGCGTACTTTACAAGCTCCAGAATATCGTGAGTTTTTAGTGGCAACACGGCGGAAACAAGAGGAACGGCATTTGTTGTGTATGAGGATATATTCGATGCAAAGAACGCGTGTGAGCATCTCTCTGGTTTTAACGTCTCAAATCGATACCTCGTTGTTCTGTATTATCAGGTTCGTCAGCCTTTTAATGACTTATTTTGTACTTGTTGATAGATTCTATCTTGTTCAGATTGATACAATATACCAGTTACTTACCGTGATCAAAATATGTTTATAGATTTGTGTGCTAGGAGTTTTCGAAGTATTCTTCTTGCTGTTGCGACATTCAGGCATATGTTTCAGGCAACAAAAGCATATAAACGAATGGACACCGATAAAGCTAAAGAACGGTTAGAGGAGATTAAAGATCGATACAATTTGGGTGGTGATTTGGATCGAGAAAAGAAAGATAGATTCGGATTAACACCAACACCAAAACGATAACTTTCCCTTGATGATTGCATATAACTTGATTGTGTTATCTCATTTCTTGGGATTGTCTGTTAACCTTCCGATTACTTGGTTTATGTATATTTGAACTGAATATTGTTCATAACTTTGTTTTTAAGCTCATGCCACTATTCATTTTTGAGCCCTCATCCGTAAAAAATCCAAAATGAATTCATTTGTTCCATATTTGTGCTTGAAAACTGAAGATGCTTGTTAAAAGCAGCACGATTCTTTGTTAATTCTTGAATGTATCACTCATACCTAATTTAGCATCAAACGTGCTGAAATTTTCTTCCATTCTGATCTCTTCCAAATTGAACACATCACAATTCAGTTTTTCTGTAAAGCAATTGTTTGATTGTTTCGCTTGATAATGACACACTTGATGAGATAAACAAAGTTTATTGCAATGAATCGGGCACAAATCTACAGTCGTTATTAAAATGGTGTTTTGCTATTATGTATCAACGAATTGGTTCAAACATTAAACGGATATGATGAAACTGTGTTACAACTGGGATGGAATATTTCTCCATTCGGCATAAAGTGCCTCTGAAGTGCACTCTCCGTAGAAGAAGACACCACGAAGTCAACAATTCAATCTTTATTAGAAATTGATAGCAATTTTCATCGTATGTTCGCAAGTTCATCAACTCGATACAAAGAATACATTTCAAATTTCAAACACATAAGAAATTTGAATATTTTGAACTTTCAAATGAATGCGAATTGCTATTATGAAACTCGCCTAAGAATTATCAGTACGACCAAACAAAATCAACCCTCAGCAGTCAACTCCAAGGTTGTGGTCATTCATTAACCGTATTCGTGTTCTCAGTGCTGCATATCTGATTTCAAACGTGAATAGAACATATAGTAATAATTCTCAGTGCCACATTTTGACGTGCATAAAGAATTCCATTAAGAACACATTCAAATCGATGGATGTGTAGTCGTTGCGCTCTTTCTTGAAAACGAGGCATTGGATTGAGCCGTACGGTAGGATGTTGGTAAAGCGTAGAAAGGTGACACGTGAAGTTAATTATTTACAGTAATGTTTGTCGATTAAATATGTACAAGTTTTACATTTCACATAACAACAATGTACATATTTGCACTGACATTGTTCTTCGACCATCACTTGCTGTGTATTATAACCACGTCCACAACACAAACTACCACATCCTTCTGCACCCGGCGACGTCACGTTACACTCTCTACAGTTTATGATTTCACCGAGTTGATTGTATATTAAGAGTTGATGCTTTCTTTTTTTTAAAAAATTCATTTCCTATTCGATAACAAAATTGCGTCGATTTTCACACTCTCATTCGATCATCAAGCATAA